ACCTCCACCCCCCCACCCGCAGGCTCCCACCCTCACCCCCACAGCCCTAGCACACCAATTTGATACCATGACCCTACGGGAACCCACATGGTACTTTGACACGGGAGCCACGCATCATATAGCCTCCGATCCAGGTACTATTTCTCATGTCTCTTCTCAATCATTAAATTCTCCATTACATATTATTGTTGGCAATGGTTCTAAGGTAAGCACTACGGCGGTGGGTACCCACACCCTCCCCACCAACCCTCCCCTCTCCCTCAATAACGTCCTTATCTCCCCGCACATCATCCATAACCTTATTTCTGTTCGCCAGTTTACGCGTGATAATAACTGTTCTATTGAATTTAATGCACATGGTTTTTCTGTGAAGGATCTTCGGACGGGAACCGTGATGCATCGGTCCAATAACTCCGGCCCACTCTACCCCTTGCTCCCTGCGCCCCCAACTCAGGTCCACAGTGCGTCCGTTGACATCCACACATGGCATCGGCGTCTTGGACATCCCAGCCCGGCTGTTCTTCGTGGTGTCTCCAGTGTCTCCAGTCTTTTTAAATTTTTTCCTAGTGATAATTTATGTCATGCTTGTCAGTTGGGAAAACATGCTCGTCTCCCATTTTCTTCTTCATGTCGTATTTCCTCTTTCCCTTTTGAATTATTACATACTGATTTATGGCAATCCCATGTCCCTAGTATTACTGGTTTCAAACACTACATGTTATTGCTAGATGACTTTTCACATTATCTTTGGGTGTTTCCTTTAAAACAAAAATCTGATGTTTTTACCCACCTCACTACTTTTATTAACTATGTAAAAAATCATTTTAACACAACCATTAAAACTGTTCAATGTGACAATGGCACTGAATATCGCAACTCCCCTCTCCGTTCTGTATTTAACTCCTTAGGCATTCTTTTCCGTTTCTCGTGCCCACACACAAGCCAACAAAATGGCCGTGTCGAGCGGACTATCCGCACCATAAATAACACCATCCGCACACTTCTTTTTCAAGCCCACCTCCCCCCAGAATTTTGGGTTGAGGCACTCCATATGACCGCCCACCTATTCAATCTCCTCCCGACTACTACCCTCAATAACCAAATTCCCCACACCATTCTCTTCCGCACCCCACCCGCCTACGCCCAACTCCGAGTATTCGGTTGTTTATGCTATCCAAACACTTCCGCCACCGCCCCACATAAACTTGCCCCACGCTCGGCACGGTGCATTTTTCTTGAATATTCCTCCCACCAACGCGGTTATCGCTGCTTAGATCTCAATACTAACAAAATAATCGTCTCGCGTCATGTTACTTTTGATGAAAATGTTTTTCCATACGAACATCACCCTTCCGCCGACGATTTTAACTTCCTTGACAC